TTTAAATGATACATTAAAAACGAAAGACAAAGAAGCATTGCTATCATTCGGCAAGCACCCTGATTTACGCGCAATTGTTAAATAGAAGATGTTCTTCGTTAATTTTGTCGCGCACTGTATGTCGTGCTATCGTTTATTAGGAGTGCATTCCAAATTCCAGCGTATGCAAACTGCATAGTGTGTGCTGCGCTGCCCACAACAAGCCTCCTCGCGCACTTAACATACACATTTACACACATGTCAAATACCGACCGATTTCTCTGTCCGTGTTCGTATATCGGGCGAATCGTTTGCCAAAGAGAGAGAGAGAGAGAGAGAGAGAGAGAGACGGAACTATCGATGTGTAATAAGTGTTGTTGTGACAAAAAGTGAGATCGAGATATATGTTTGTACGCTTCGCGCGACGTCACGCGGTCGGTCGTCCCGCTGTCGGCAGTTGTCGTTGGAAGGCCCACGTGCTGTTGGCGCGATGTTGTCATGGTTACGATTATTCGTGGCGCCTGTACGCACGGCGCATGATGATCGTGGCGTTGCCAAACGTCCCATCGTTATTTTAAAATTGGTGATGTTTTAGAAATTGTAAATTTTTGAGGTGAGAGGTATATAATACAATATGCAATTGGTTAAATAGTATTTATGAATTGCAATTTCGTTGTAGGTTTCGGTTATATTGTTTATTTGACATTATGAACATTTATTGAATTGCGTTTGTAATTAATGCTTGGAGACTTTCGTATGACTGTAATAGTTGAGATAAAAATATCATCTGATCGACCGCATTCAATTTCAAAAACGCAGAACACACGTATGTATATTCAGAGTATTTGTATCGATTTTTATAGTTAAATCCAAAAATAGTGTGGGCTAATGATAGTATTGTAATAACCAACGTTAAAATAATTTGTAACTGCTTTTAGATATTTTGATTGTCTTTGGCAACGCTGTTTTGCAGCGATTACCAAGGTCTTATATGTTGTGTGATTGCCGCCACGGTTGCGGCTAGTCGTTGGTGCTTCTATTTCCGTTACACCAATCCCGACCGCGAATTGTCAACGACCATTAACGAGAGCGGACGTGAATAGCCGATTAGTCGCGATAGACAACGATGATTATCAGTAAGTCGGCTGTCACAAACACGTGCGCGTGACATCGTTGCCAGATGTAAGTATTTACTGAAGAACTTGACTAACGAGGGTCTAAAAGCTGCACGGTTTTAGTGCAGCGAGTACTCCTGTATTTTACACCCCTCAAGGACCTAAGTCGCGTCGTTTTCCGTGAACTGACTCCCCTTCCGAGAATTTTAAACATCCGGCAGTTGTTGAATAGAAAAAGAAAGAAGGACGAGGAGGAAGGTATATTTCTTATTAGTGGGGTGTTTGTTCAGGGATTGCTTTGAGCTAAAGAATGTCTTACAGGTCNCACTTTGAATACATCAAATTTAGTGGATATTCTTTAAAAATTCTGATTAAATAATAACATTTTAGATATCAAAAGTGGGACTGTGAACATTTCCACCTTTTAATTACACGTTCTAGAACGTTCTAGTATTAGGGGAGATGATGCAACAATGATTTCATCTTTTGCTTAAAAATGTTAAATGAAATTTCTTCTTGCAATTTTCAACAGAAACGTGATGCTTTTGGTTTTGGTCATGGTAATGGTAAAACCGAGCTTTGGGCTGGAATCACAAAAATTTGTCATTATTTTGATCAGTTACTGTAGATACCGGATCGTGTTGTAAGTGCGGGTAAAGTAGATGAAATTATTACCTAATCTTAAAGCCCCACAAGCAAAACGGCTGCTATACAGGAGCGACAGGACCGATCCTTGTCGTCACTGCGTCGGGTCGCTACCACAGCCGGCTTACGCGGCACTACAAGAGGCATTAAACCCATTATCGGACCCATCGTTGCCAAGTTTATTCGGAAATTTCTCATTTTAATACGTTTAAAATTAGACACATGTAATACAATAGGAGATATCCGCAGAAGAAGGAATTGGGCACAAATCTAAAATTGTACAATGACGGTTAGAGGGTGGAAATTACTTTAGCCCTGAAAATAAAAGTTATCACTGTAATTTGATTCTACTATTAACCATTCATTTTAAATTTACTAATTTGGTAATTTGTACATACAAATCAAATCTTAAATTTTTTTGGATTTGGATTTGAATTTATTTTTATATTAAATTATTTACGTTTAGAATCGTCATAGTAGTTGTAATCTGTTATGAATCACCCCGTATACACGAGTGGCGAGTAACGCCGACAAAGAAATGTGTAATTTCTATGTCCCGTGAATGTTTTGCCTTACCTGTATATGAAAACAATATAACAATGGGTTTTGCAAACGAAAGAAACAAATGCAATTGTATCATAAATCTGACGTTTAACACCTTTAGTAAATATTTACTTTCTCGAAAGTGTTTACCAATTGTCACAAAGCGACAAACGCGTCTTGTTCTTGTACCAACCTTACACACATACAAACACAGTGATGAAGGTGTATATTGTGAGAATATGTGCTTGTGTAGTGTAGGTAGGCTAGAGAAACACCTTGCTTGTTAAAATTCATTCACACTTACGCACTGCACAACACTGTTTAATATCCATTCATTCATTCATAAATTTATGTACATCCATTCGCCTCTTCTGATTAATTTAGCAATAGGTGAGGGTGTGTAGTAATTTATCGGTAAATTAAGTTTTTTATATTCGCATTTGCATGTTTTATGATAGGCAGAAAAAAAATGTTAAATCTCTTTAAAATTTAACACTCAGATTAATGATGATGAAAGAAAGCTCACAAAATTGTAGGTGGTTATATGTTTATATGCAATATTTGATTTGAAATAGGTGGGTACAGATAGATAGAGTTTTGTGTGTGTGTTTATACGTTGACATTGTATTGTAAATGCATATCTAATTTGCAAGGTCATTGTAAATTACTATTCGTTTTTATTCAGGACAACTATGTACAGTGGGAGGCATAATTTATTACCGTCTGCTTGTGTCATAATACCTATTGCAGTACATAACGAGATATATTACCTACATAAGTATATTGAAGTTTTTTGTTTTATTTCGTTCATGTTGCGATTGAGTGTTTTGTTTTTAAGAAAAAACTTAAAGAACTTTCATTATTTCTCTCCCGTATTATTAGATATTTCCTTGTTTTTAAGAAGAATGAAAATAGTTATTTTTTTTCCATCTTATTAGTATGTAGTTGATTTTGTTTTTAATAGTAATAACACACATTTATTGTTACCTAATAAGTTTGGTACACCAGTGAATGTGCCTGTTTTAGTAATTGCGTAATGCTACGAAAGGAAAAGTTATGAAATAAGTTAACAAAATTAAAAACGAAGTTATTTTATCCTGCATCACGGTAATTTTTTATGACTTGTAGTCAGTGGAATTTAAATCTGATGGAAAATTCTGCGTTTGAGTTGCTAATTTTCTCTATACACAGATAGTATTTATTAACCAATTAATTTCGGCGCTTATTAACCGAATGGGAAATTCCGTTTTCACCACCGATACATACATACAGATACACATACGTGCGTACATGATACGCACGTAATAAGTAAGTATGTACAAGACACCGGTACAAACAATACATTTCCTTGCGACGTATCCGTTGTTTTTGTGATGTTGCCATTTAGGACCTTGCTTACTTATTGACACACCGCTGCTGTTGTCCTTCACGTGTTTCGCCGCCTAAGCGTGGCCCGTGGCGTCGTGGGGTTAGCAATGTTAGCATCGATTTACTTATTTTGCGACGGCGTCGTTGCCATATCGTATCAAAATTTTCTCATGCGCAAAAATATATTGAAACGTAATTAATAATCGAAACAGTAGTAGCGATTTATGCAGAGCTTAGGGGTTCCTTGGAAATAGTCCAGGGTTCCACGACTCACTTACATTAATTATTATTCATACTATAATGTCGCTGTTGCAAATATTTTGGAGTTAAAATTAGTCTATTACTAAATAGATATTGTAAAAAGCAATAAATATGGATAATATATATCGAATTACAGATACCGAACGACATTTTTGATGAGGCGCGGAGTCCTAGGTGCTCGCGTGTTAAACTTTATCATGTTTTTCTCAATAATAACAATGTTTACATTACGTCACAGTCGTAAATGGTGTCGTTAAAACTGTACATTTGTTTGTAAGCACGTGGAATGCGATAATTAAAAATTAATAATGCAAACCTCATGTAATGCAACATAAAAGGCCAGTGGCGTTTCGTATTGGTTTGTAAAACGAGGGGTAATTTTAATTACTGAACTGTACATATCTTAAATTAGAAGTTATTTGTATAATATACAGTCGGGAACGTTCTAGTATTAGGGGAGATGATGCAACAATGATTTCATCCAGTCGCCGCCCCCGTCACCGGTTCCTGTTCCACCTTTTAATTACACGTTCTAGAACGTTCTAGTATTAGGGGAGATGATGCAACAATGATTTCATCTTTTGCTTAAAAATGTTAAATGAAATTTCTTCTTGCAATTTTCAACAGAAACGTGATGCTTTTGGTTTTGGTCATGGTAATGGTAAAACCGAGCTTTGGGCTGGAATCACAAAAATTTGTCATTATTTTGATCAGTTACTGTAGATACCGGATCGTGTTGTAAGTGCGGGTAAAGTAGATGAAATTATTACCTAATCTTAAAGCCCCACAAGCAAAACGGCTGCTATACAGGAGCGACAGGACCGATCCTTGTCGTCACTGCGTCGGGTCGCTACCACAGCCGGCTTACGCGGCACTACAAGAGGCATTAAACCCATTATCGGACCCATCGTTGCCAAGTTTATTCGGAAATTTCTCATTTTAATACGTTTAAAATTAGACACATGTAATACAATAGGAGATATCCGCAGAAGAAGGAATTGGGCACAAATCTAAAATTGTACAATGACNTACTGATAGGGGTGAAGAGCCTAGTATTAATAATAATAATTTTTCTTTTTTTTTTTACAGAAGGTGACCAGGGCTCTTGGGAAAGTGGGCTTTCGTACGAGTGTAGATCGTTACTTTTTAAAGCCCTTCACAACTTAATAGAACGGTGTTTGTTATCGAGGGACTTTGTTCGCATAGGAAAGTGGTTTGTTCAACCTCACGAAGGGGGAAGTAAAAGCACCGAAGCTTCTTCCAGGTTAGTAACATGAATAATTCATTTTATTCTTCTATTTAAAGTGACCAAGAATACTAGAAATAGGAGTGATAACTACATACATGGTTATGTTTAATGTACTGCGCGAGCCGTAAAAACGTCACCATGTTGTACTTAGTCGTCCGCTGCGCATTAAGTTTGTGCGCATTTTGTTTACGTTTTGGTATTTGACAGCTGAAAATACCGAACTTGTTAATGATGCTTTTTAAACCCATTCGCTTATGTTATTGCTCCTTTATCTAGTTTTTTCTTTTGTTATTTTAAAATTCAGTTTTTTTAATTGTTGTTCTTTTGGGTTTTTCAGCAGTTCGACCCATCTCTCTTTCTCGTTTGCCTTCTTTGTTCATGGGGAGAGCACAGTGTGTGCAAGTGTCGACGTACGTCAACATCCTGCGGTACGAAAACTCACTCGATGGCACTTGCAACAGGCCCAGGCGTCCAGTCAAGGACTTCAAGGTAGCGGATTTTTTTTTTGTATATATTTTTTTAATTAATAATCGTATTTTTTTCGAGTCTTTTTCGTTAAAATTGTGTAAAATGATCCACTTGGTAGCTTATTTTATTAAAAGTAAATTGTAATGTAACAAATTCAAAAATTTATTTACAATTTGTTTTGGAATATATATAGACAATATTATTTGTGATATTGTTCTGAGACAATAAATTTAACATTTTGGTTTAAATACTCGGTTTCGCAAACTGTAGTGTTTATCAGGTCTACCTACATAATTCCTTCTTTAGTTGTGTACTTCGACTTGAGTGATAATCTGATAATACTCTGTCGGTTGTTCCCCCGTTCGTTGTAACTAATTTCTTGAACAAATTATGCATGATAATTGATTTTAGAGCCATGCAAATTAGTCTGGCTTTCTAATGCGTATTTTTTTTACAAGAGAAGCTTAATTCCGGTAAATTTGTAGAGTATTGGTAAAAAAATTGAATTGACAAAGGATAAGGTTAATAAACTTTTAGTTGTGGATAGTTAATAGGTAATTTTTTACAATTTTTTGACAAAAGATTTATTATCGTGGTACATAAAAACGGTAGGATTGAATTGTTGATAAAGTCACAATGAGACAATGAAACGGTAATTCATATTCGTTGTTACATTTATTTGATTTACATAAGTGACAAGTGAAACTTATTTCCAAAAAAGGATTCCGTTTTTGTGACTCATACTTTAATAGTGTTTTTTGTCTTTCTATAGTTATGTTGGCCCCCTTCGGTCTGGCGGGCACTCTCACGGGCCACATATTCAAACCGAACGAGTCGACGACTCGTCTCCTGGAGGACTGGGGTCAGTTTTATCCTTTGGACAGGACGAGCATGTCCACCGGCGACCTGAACATCGTCGAGGTGGTCGTCGGCTCGTCGAAGATGCGATACCCCTCCTGTTACGTGTTGGTCACCGACATGGACGATTCGGCCAATTTACCAGTTCTGAACAGTGGAATCGTCGGGGGAACAGCGGCGACTGCACCGACGGGAGCAGGACAACCTTCGATAACGCCTGTTCCCCAAACGACCCCCAATGTCATCCAGCAGAACGGGATTAAAAATGGATCCAGTAAGTGTTATATAGAAATTGTCAAAATCGAAAATCCACATCTCTAAAACTTAATTGTAACGCCATTTTTCTTGTATTAGAGGTAAAAAATGAAGAATAATGTTTCTAATCAAAAAGTGTACCACTTATCTTCCTCCATGATATTGTATCGCTTTGCTTTTATAAAGATTATGTATGCTAATTTTTAGCTTTAAATAAAATGGAAGCGGTACTGACAGATCAGTACTGTATGAAAATAAATAAAAGCAAAACTAAAATACTGATATGCAAGGGAAGAAAAAGTAGGGAAAGAGCGAATATAAAGATAGGAGACGAAAAATTAGAAGAAGTGGCTGATTTTAGATACCTAGGAAGTCAGATAAATCAGGATGGAAGGAGTAGTAGGGATATAAAGCAGAGGATAGCGCAGGGTCGTGTCGCCTTTAATAAAAAGAAGTCACTTCTATGCTCGCGAACGGTTAATTTAGAAATTCGAAAAAGGTTGTTAAAGGTGTATGTTTGGAGCACGACGTTGTACGGGTGTGAAACATGGACAGTGGGAGCGGCGGAAAAGAAAAGGTTAGAAGCGTTCGAAATGTGGTGTTATAGGCGGATGATGAGGATATCGTGGGTAGAAAAGGTTAAAAATGAAGAGGTATTGGAAAGAACAGGAGAACAGAGGACTCTATGGAAGTCAATAAAAAATAGGCGAGATAAGTTGGTAGGACACCTTCTGAGGCATGAAAGTCTAGTCAGAGACATATTAGAGGCAGAAACAGGAGTTAGGAGGGGTAGAGGTAGACCTAGATTAGATTACTGTTCGCAAATAGTTAAGGATGTGGGCTGTTCTAGTTTTAGGGAGATGCGAAGATTAGCTCAGGATAGGAAAGAGTGGAAGTACGTGTCCAACCAGTCTTAGGACTGATGACCTTATGATGATGATGATGATGATGCTAATTTTAAGTCGAAAGAAATATACATTATGCATTACCTAAGGGATTTCCCCACGGTATAACCAAGATACCATTGTTGCTGTTGCACAGATAAATTATTTCGCACTAATAAATTAAAATTTTGCAGTTGTTTTTTGCATTGTTGTGCATTTTGAATGTAAAATTTATTAATAAATGTTGTTTCATGTTTCGTAAGGATAGTATTTTAATTTGTTAGTTTATTAATGTAACTTTAAAAATATCTAAAAGGGAGGTCTGTTCAATTTTATTATTTTTTTTTTAATATGTACGTATTAATTTCACTGTTTATGGGGCCTTGATCTTCATAATATCTTCAGCATAAAAAGTACACATTTTTTCACTATTGTACATTAATTTTGATTTGTTTCCTCAGTTTAATCTTTTCTACCTTTTGGAAGTTTTTTTTCTTTGCTGTTAATAATTTACGTGCAGGTACTATTAGCTGATGGGGTTTTTGTTGTTTTTTTTTTTTGGTTTAGTACAATTTGAATTATTAATGTAATAAACTCGCGCACTAAATACGTGTACGCGAGAGATCCGGCTTGTGGAACACAGATTTTTGTTTCACTAGTCTTTTTTGTCTCGCCAAATCAACTAAGGTCGATTTTTCATTTGCTGAGTTGTCTTTTATTTGGACAATTCAGTCAGCCAATCGACTACAACACACACATTTAATGTTTTAATTTTTTTTTTATGATTATGTATAACGGCGCTTTTTTTTTAATTGTGAACAGGTTGTCACGTTGGAGACCGTCTCGTAACCGTACATAACTATGATCCAAATAATTTGTATAGAAAGCTAAAAAAATTGCTTCAAGTCGCATTAATAACAATCTTTAATGAACTAAATGTTTCTGCAAGATATCCTTAATAATATATCCCCCCATTGTAACAAAAAATAAAAGTTTATTTGTTTAAACGATCTGTAAAATAATGTGAAGGTTTGAGATAATGCAGTTAATCAGGATATAGCGTTTGTTTGAGGTTTTTAAAGTACTGTAACATAAATGATACGACACGCCACTTAATTGTTATAACAAATAAGGATCGTATGATATAAATGTTTCATTTTCTAGGCACTCCTGTGGCAATCCAGTCGCCGCCCCCGTCACCGGTTCCTGTCTATAGTCGAGTGCCGCCTCCGGGTCCATTTCCCGTCTCCATCGAGCATCCGTCATCCATGCAAAAGGACCCCACGGCGGCCAACGTGCTTCCAGAACGGACGTGGCAGGAGTGTATCCTCGGAGGACCTCCGGCACCTTCCCCAGTCTTGCCTTCGAGTGTCAATGGAGGCGGTGGCGGAGGAGCTACAACGGCACCGTCGTCGGCATCATCATCAACGTCGACACCGTCCCAACAACCACAATCACAACAACAGCAATGTAATAACGGTCAGATGACTCAGATGAATGGTCCTGTGGGAAGTGGCGGGTTGTTAACGTCGACGGATGCCAGCAGTGGAACTGGAGGAGGCAATTGGGACTTTGTTGACCCAACGAGGAGAGCTAATTGTACCTGTTCAAAGTGAGTACCCTACTCACGCACATATAGTAAAAGTTTTTATAATATGTAATAAGGGTTTTTGTTTAAATGATTAATTTAAATGTGCTAAAAGAAAATACCTTAGTGTTTGTATAATAAGTACCACGTAGCTTTATTAATGCGTATGTTATTTAGTTGGTGTCTTGCTCCGGTCATGAGATAATTCTTTTCCAATTTTATTTTTGTTCTAATGAAATAAAATGTTTGCAGTTCATTCTTCTATAAACTGTTTAAGATAGGAAAAATTTGACGAAAAAATGACAGACGTAAATAGGAAATTAATTGACCTTGAAAAATCGTAAAATATTTTCGTATCATAAACAGTTTAACGAGAAATTAGATCATCCAGTAAATGATTTTGCTTTGTGATACTTGGTTATATAGTAAAAAGAAAACATTGCTGTTTCTCGAATATTTCATACTTCTCGTTTATTATAATAAGTAACTAGCGGTTTGAAGGATATACCAGAAGAAGGTATTTCACCAGATGGTGGATGTGGGATGGGATAATCGACAGTGTCAAGTCCTTCTGGTTTTAGGTTCCTATTTGTTTTATTCTCCCGTTTTGTTTTAGCTCTCCCTCCTGTTCAAGAAAATTTTCTCCTTGCTATCCTCACCCCGTCGATTCATTCCGGGTTGTTAATTTATTTTCTTATGCAGTTGTTTGTGAACGCACGACGACTTTTCAGGTGTAGGAAGTTGTGCGCAGGCGCGACAACGACGGGCACGAGCGGCAGTAGTAAGTGGGGTAGCAGTGGTAAAGTTAAAGGGCAGCGTCCCAGCCGCATACCTTTTCACAGGCGTTCGCCTGTGTCACTCGACATTACTCTAACAGCAGCAGTAGTAACAACGACGACATCGGCGTCGAATAATGACACCGTCAACAGCAATAATACGGCTGCAACCCCTTCAAATAACAACAATGGTGGTAGTAGTAGCTGCAGCAGCAACAGCAATGTCGTTCCTACCGTGCCTACCACCCCCGTCGAAAGGTTGGTCACTCGCTTGCTGGGTGACGGGCTTCTATAATAATAATAATAATAATACAATAACATTAATTATAATGTCGTCATTATTATTATCAGCAATAATAAGTAATACATAATAATAATCAAGTAACATTTTATCACTCGAGCTACTATACTATAATAATACAATCACACTGTATCACCATGTTTTTTTCTTTTTTTTTTATAATACGTTAATCTTACAGGAACAGGGATGGATCAAATATTGGATAATAGGGGATGATGTTTAGCATAGGAGGTGGGCGTAGTTCTTTCGCGTTATTCTCGTCTCAAAAAACATTTTGTGGTGTGTTGTGTGTTGCCTGATATCGAATGGATGAAACTGATAGACATATACACATAGAGGCAGGGTTTCAATGTGAACCATCGTGGGTTACTAGCCGTGTTGCTGTCTCTCAACGTAGGGTGCAGGCTATTTGTTTCTAGCGACACATGTGTTGGTATCTCGATCATTTGCAATTGTCATTAGGGAGAGATTTCGAATAGCAGGGTTAAATTTAATTCCATATCGCTAAAAAGAAATAGCCTGCTAATGTTCACTTTTGAGACTGCTTCTAGGCGAATATGCTCTAAGGAGTGAAAGGATTCAAAAATATGTGATTGATAAGCAATCGCTATGATTTTCATTGTGTATATAATTTTTTAAAAAGTAAACTAAATATAAATTATTTTAAGTAATGTAATTATTAATGTAAATTAGAAAAAAAAATATTTATACGTCATTTAAAAGGTTTCATGATGCTTTGTACAATAATTGCAATTAGGGGATACACATATACACACACCTGTACACCTTTTTTTTCTGTAGGGGGTGGTGGTGATAACGAATGGTTTGATTGATTAAAATTAAAATCAGTAAACGTCTCTGATGATAAATTTGCATCAATTCTGATGGATATTAAAACCTGAAAAATTATAAATATGTAATATTTCCCATAGTTTTAATAAACGGAATCATTATCATTGTAACATGTCCATTAATTTTTTTTCAGCAATAGTATATCGATTGACATTAAGTGCTTGTGACTTACTTATGCATGATTTTATCAATATAAACGTTCTTTAAGTTAGTATAATTCACGTTATCTCTAATTAACTACATTAAACACACTTACAATGTAACAAAGCATGTAAATATCGTATATTACAATCAGCTGAATGGTTTTCTACTTTGTATATAAATAGTTTAAGATTGTTATTATTTTTATCTTTATGGCACTTTACCTTTTTTAAATCGTTTGGTAATTTACATTTTATTTTTGTTGTAGGTGTCCCGGTTCGTACACGCCCCAGGGCGGTCCACCTTCATATCCACGTACGCAAGAGTCCCTGGCGATACCGTCAGTGGGGAGTCCTCCGTCTGTCGCGCCCTCGCCATTGCCTAATCCGAACTCGCAACCTGCTTCTGTACCTCCAGGCGAACAACCCATGCCCACGTTGTCTCCGCACCCGCCTACCGTCGCTCCTTCCCCGGCTGACAAAGCGCAGACGCCAACGGACGAAGCTCCACCTACCAACGCTGGTTCAGTCATTGACAGTCCGATGACGAATACGCACATGGACATCAAACGGGAAGACGAGGGTGTAACGGGCGGACTGATGGGCGGTGGAGCGACGATAGGCGGAGGAACAACGGGCGGAGCGGCGACCGCAATGAAAAGGCCCGCCCTCAGTTCGAAAGAATACGAGGACGCGCTCGGAGAGGAAGAGCACACGCTCGACCTTTTGTACGATTATTCGACATTGGACGCTTGGTAAGGATAGTAGAGAGATTTTGGTGTTTTTGTTTATTTAGAAGATATATTGTTTCCTTTCTCTGAATATTTTATTTATTTACGACCTAAGGTTAAACCATCCCGTCAAGCGATTTAAACCCGATTCAAAGGATAGTATGCGGGCTATTATCAGATCAGGAAAAATGGATCTCTACTCAATGTACCAACAACAGTCGGGCTTGATGGCGAGTACAGCCAGTGATCTCAACCACAATAACCCCAAGGGCCAGCAGCCCCTCGTGATCAAGCAAGAAATCAAACAGGAACCAATCTGCCAGGTAAATTGTTGTTTATTATTATTAATGACTGTTTTTTTTTTATTGACTGAAACCTTTTGTATATATAGATGGAAACGGATTCGACGATCGCCATTCCAAATTCGTTACCGCACGGAACCAAACGTCCCGGAGACCCGTACGAGTTCGAGGAGGAAGGAGGAGGAGCGGCCTGTAACATGGACGGCTTCAAAAGGGGCCAAAACGTTAAAGAAGAACAGCCAACAAAAGACTCGAAAAAGGTCAGCAGTGCTGGTAACCTGTTCACGAGCGAGGGCTTGCAACCCTCGTACAGGGATCTGGATCAGATATTTGACAACTCGGATGACACAAGTGGGGACGAAGGATTACAAGTAAAACGAATGATCTAAAATATTCGCCAAGAAATAACAATAACTTATTGTTTTAATTAGGTACAAACACCCCCTGGTTCGAATAAGTCGACAGGGGTCCACGAAGATACGAATAAGCGTCTCTATGGAAGTGGTGGCAGTGGAGGGGGTAGCGGTCACGGTACGTGTTCAAACATCGGCATTTTAAGGCCCGAAGAACTCAGTAAAATGTTTCCAACTCCGCCCAGTCTCGAACCTAACCCTATTGCGTCGCCCTGCGGCCAGTTCGATCTACCCCCGCCCGATTTAGCAGATTTGGGTGCCGTTGCGCGTGTCAAACAGGAAATTTATCCTAGTATGGGAAGTCCACAGGAAGAAAGTATAGGTAAATCTTATTTAATTTGTTGATTTTTTTTTAACAAATATCAAATTAATACAAAAAAATGAAAATAATTAACTGATAACCTAATTTTTTGCTAGTTGATCCAGGGTTTTGAAAAATATTTGTTTATTTCAAAAGATCTTTTATTCTGGCAATAGTAATGTCGATTTTCATTTGCTTGTTTATTTTGAGAACAATTTAGTCAGCATTTCGACTACATTATTAATATTAAAATTTGAAGATATAAAAGAGGTGTGACGTAAAGGAATTATTTGATTTGTTAGAGGACTGGAGTTATGTGTTCAAGCCGCCGGTAATCTGTAAAATGGTCGGTTCGAGTAAGTACGCGCCCCTTGTGAATTTACCAAGTGCTGGCCTGCCGGCGGTAGTTTTACCACCTCAGTGCGTCTACAAGCCGTCGTGGCTTCAGCACATGGAGAAACCGATGACGACCGCGCCGCAGCTCGCCCCCAATCCCACTGCCATACAACCGGTGGCGACGACGGCAGTAGTCAACAACCGGCCGTCTCCAAACACCACCAGCAGCTTACCCAACAGTATACATCAAAACATCTCGTCGTATCCATCGAGTCCATCACATTCTGCACCACCGGGATTCAGGTAAATTATTATAATATTGCAGAAATTATTTAAATGATTTTGCTCTTAATGGTAGTGTTTTTATTTTATGTATCCAATTTTGTAATTTTTAGACCTCCACCACCCCCGTACGAACTGCCCAGTCCGGCCACGTCGACCGCAAGCTCTTACTTGAACAAAAATCTCAATTCGGTAGATGCGGAACCACCTCCCATGATGCTTCGTACTCCTGAAGCCAGTTCTCTTGTTGTTAACATTCTTTTAGGTAAGTTTTATATTTTTTTATTATCTGGTATTACATATTTACATTATTTAAATGAAAAAATACAAATTGTTACTGTTCTGTTCAATATTAAGGAAAAGACGTGTTGTATACGTACATTAAGAAAAAGTGCGTTTAAATGACTGTTTTGTATTTATTATCAGGCGATACTGCGCTGAATATATTCCGCGATCACAACTTCGATAGTTGCACCCTGTGTGTGTGCAACGCGGGACCCAAAGTGGTCGGAAATATTCAAGGCGCAGACGCGAGCGTGTACCTGATGAACAGCAACAGTTCTTCGTCGTCGACCAATCCCGGTGATAAGATCGTCGGCTATGGCTCAATGCATCAACCAAACAGTCCGTATCCAGGCGCGCAGGGGCCCCCGTACGGCAGTATGATGTCCCCGCCACCGCCCCATCATCACAACCACCATCAGGGACAGCAGCATCATCTCGCGCCCATCTTTGACGAAGACTCGATCAAATGCAGCTGTGGTTTCTCGGCGGTCGTCAACAGACGTCTGTCACATCGGAGTGGATTATTTTATGAAGACGAAATGGAAATTACTGGTAAGTTTTGAATGCTATTTAAAGTGCTGTATTGAAAATATAAAAAGTTGCAGTTGGTTACCCGCTTAAACATTGCTAAATATTTACTTTTTTTTTTTTAATTTTAATCGTTTTTGGTATAATTTAGTTGGAAATGTAAAACGATGTCGCTGATATTAATTTGTTGGTTGTAGATTCGAATAAAAAAAATATCCCTAATCTCGGGAAATATCTGGGGAAGAAATTTAAAAGATATTTAAATTTTTAAATCATGTAATAAACTAAATGTTTTGTCGCCAGTGTGCTAATTAATTCTGTCCAAAAATTAATCGCTAATTTTCTGTAGTAAGCAAAGATTTTTGGGAGTGTTAAAATGGTGGTTTTAATTCCACATTTCTTTTTAACATAGACAGTCTTTGCAAAATAATTCATGCAGAAGGATACACCAGTTTATTTACTGCAGTTCGCAAATTGGTTCGCAACGCTGCTAACATTTATTGTTCAAAAACATTAATTTTTATCAAAAAAAACTATAAAAGAAAACCACTATGAACTGTTTTGAAGTTAGCCTTCCTTTAATGGATATTTGGGAAAATCTATAGATAAGCCGTTTTTTATACATCAATTTTTTTTATCTAGGTATTGCGGAAGATCCTAGCGAAAGGAAAAAACCGTCCCTTTTGTCGTTTCTTCTGCAGACGAGTAGCCTGAAAATGGACCCGAGTATGGAGCGGGAACAAGTGGACGTTATCCCACACAGCATAATCGAACTCGTACGAGAACAATGCGTAATGATCCAAAGTACAGCTAATTCATTATATCGATCTGCACGTTATCATCGAAACAATCTTGTCGACCATTCGTATTCCAGCACTGTTAACATTTTGGAATTCACTGATGGTGAGCAGATTTTTTTTGGAATTTTTTTTTATGTGCAATAAATTGTTTAAATTTAATAATTATTAGGTAATGAGTTGACGACGTTGGCCTTAGAACAGAGTAAACAATCGGAAAGTATATTGTTATGTAAAGCCGAAGACAGTTTGCGACCGCGAGGGGCCGGTTTGGGGAGTCATCATCGGATCTGTGTGCACAGGTGGCCGTTTCTCAGGGCGTTCGGGCCGCAGTGTAACCAGGACATTGTGAGGGTGATGAAAGGATTACAACCCCTACTCCAAGAAGCGATAAGGAAAAAGTGTCAGACAAGATTGTGGGAACCACCGTCCGCCGTGAAAGGGCCCTTGACCTGGAGGCAGTTCCATCGATTGGCCGGAAGAGGTAAGAAATAATAATTGATACAGAAAGTAAATTTAGAAAGAAATAATAATTGAAAGAGAAAGTAGATTTGGAAAACAAAAATGATTGATGGTGAAATTTCAGTTACACTATCGATTAAGTGGTTATTTAATTATATTAAATTTAAACGCAAATATTCAATTTTTTTAATGCAAAGCTTACCCATCAGTAGGTTTCTGTAAAAACTTCTGATGCATTTAACTTTGCTAAATGAAAACAGAAGTTGTTTATATAATATGTTTATTTCTCTTTAAAATTTACATAAATTTCAACTTCTGACAATACTTTTCAACTAACAAAAGCAAGTTGTTTTTAAATCCTAAACAGTCCTTTTGGAATAATAATTTTTTAGTTGATTATGATAAAAATTTTAGAGTTCTGTGCTTATTCTTTTAAATAAACAATTAATTTTTCATTATTATAGGGGAGGTAACTTACTGTTAGATGTCTAAATTATCAGTCAACTATCACTAAGTTCCTACTACAAGCTTTCCATGTTTCTATTTAAGGTACTGACGACCGTTGCGAGCCCCAACCAGTTCCATCTTTGATAGTCGGTCACGAAAAAGATTGGTTATCGTTATCCCCCTATGCCGTCCACCATTGGGAACGGCTCCTTCTGGAGCCTTACTCTTACGCTCGCGACGTGGCTTATATCGTTGTAGCACCTGATAACGACGCCATACTGCCCCGTGTACGCACCTTCTTCAAAGAATTATCGACGGCTTACGAGACGTGTCGTCTTGGTCGGCACAGCCCCATCACAAAGGTGCTGCGAGACGGAATACTGCGCGTGGGCAAAACGGCGAAGACCAAACTTGGAAACGAACCTGTCGAGGAGTGGTTTACGTGTCTAGGAGAGGGTGACGCCACCGATATGCTCAAGCTGTACGCGCAAGTAAGTGTTTTTAAAACCTTTTTCCATATAGAAATCAAATAGAAGTAATGATTTCAGTATTTTTTTGTTTTCTCAAAATTGACAAATTAAATAATAGTGACTTCTTTATTATTGATAAATGAAATTTGTTAATTTGATTTTTATGAACTGTACTTAATATTATAACGATTCATTAAAGGTGTGCAAACATCACCTGGCGCCGCATCTCCAGCAAGTACCAATGGACAAAACGTTACTAGATCCTCCGGAAACGACTCCCGACAAACCTGCCCCTAGTCCTATGCCTCCGCCTAATACACCTGATAATAACAGTTCCGGAAGCGGTAACAACAACCCTACCAGTAGCAGCAGTAGCAGTCAAAACTCCAGCATGATGAATAGTACTGACAAAGCGCCTTCAACACCAAAGAGCGAACAAGGTAAAACATTCAATATCTTGTTGAAGTGTACAGTATATAAAATTAATAACTTACTATTGATTTATTATTTAGATTCGGATTCGGGTAATTCGAAAGAAATGACGCCCCTGTTGTCTAGTTTATCGGAGTCTATGCACGACGATGACGATAGACAAGTACCCTGTGTGGTCATCTACATGGTGGAACCGTTTTCGATGGGATGCGACCAGCCGGACCTGCAGCGTCTGGCCTGTCTCGCATTGCTCAGATGTTTTCAGTCAGTGCTCAGCTCTGTGCCGGAAAATATACGTAGCAACATCAGCTTTCAGGTAACTATCTAATTTTAACCATTTTAAAGTTAAAAATTAAAATCTTGGTAAGAAAAAAGTTTCACAAAAAAACTTAATCTTAATTCTTTTGGTGGCAAAATGTTTTTTGATTGAGTTTATATTTTCTTGAGAGTTACATATGTTAAAAACTTGCTGTGAAACTAACTTTTTATTGTTTTTTCTACGGAGCTATTATTAATTTAAGAACTGACTGATGTATTTGTGTGTTGTAATAGTTGTTTTAATTTTTGTCAATTTTTTTCTAGATAATATCTCAGGAAAGTGTGATGGAATTGGGGAAGTCTAGGGACAGAAATAGGCATATTGACCACATGAGGGCCTTAGCCTTAAGTGTTTTTTCTCAGTGTCGAAGGCTACTAGTTCACACTAGTAATGTAAAGTCTTTAACTGGCTTTGGTACAGCTGCCAGTGCGGATCTTTTCCTGAAAACGAAAGACGTAAGTTTCATTATTGAGATTTTTGACGAATGAAAACTATTAAAAAATAACAGATAAAATTGTTGTTTTAATGTTATGTAAATAACTTACATATGTTATTGTACAGTATCGTCAACCGTTTTATGAACTTGATAGTCCTGTTTTATTGCAAGGAAAATCGGCAGGTTGCTGGAAATTTGATAGTTTTCTGCAGTTGTTTTCTTGCTAGAACAAACGCAACAGGTATTGCTCTGATTTATTTTTCTAACGCGGAATAAGTCAGATCTCGACCCTGGTGACACTTGTTCCTCGTAATTGTATACTGTTTTTACTTCATTTTGAATAGGATTGTTTTCTCATTATTTTGCAAATGCTTGCTTCTTTGGACGGTTCTTATTATTGAATTGAAATTGTTTAAGACTGTTTTTATTTCTATTTTTAGCAAGACATTTGGCAAGTAAAGTTGTCATGGAACCGTAATTGTCCTAGGCTAATTTTTACATTAAAGTCTGTACACTTGCCGGATGTCAGTGAATGTTAACATTGTGATTTAATTTTGTTTTTGTTATCTCCATTTTCAAAGTAGTTTTTCTTCTAATCCCATATAAATATACACAACAAAATCGCATTTTTCTAGGACAAGAACCGTGCTCCGTACAAAATGTACTCGCCACCTTACATCTTGGCACCAATAAAAGAAAAAGTCGAGCCCGTTGAGGCTTTCGGTCTCTCGAACTCGGACCAAGGCTGCGTCCTCTACCTCAGCTATTGCTTGTCGGACGACCAAAGTTGGTTGCTAGCAGTCGCTACTGACGAGCGGGGCGAGATTTGCGAAAACGTCACCATAAATATCGAGATACCAAACAGAAGTAAACGGAAAAGGGCATCGGCACGGAGACTCGGACTGCAGAAACTTATGGATTGGACTTTGGGTCAGTATTTGCGTTTAAACAGTGCTTAGCGTTTCCCTTAAATATTTTAATTCAGAATTACGTGTAAATATTTAGCATTTTTTAATACGTACAAATATCTTTCTGAATTAAAATTTTTAGTCATAATTTTCCCTAAAATAAACTTAGACTTACAATTTTAAAAATTTGCTTACACACTCCGATTCATTGTCAAGTTTTTCTGTCTAATAATTTTTTTCGTTTGTAGGCATTATGTCGTTAAGTGTTAAACAGTGGCGTTTAGTGGTGGGTCGTTTGGGACGTATCGGACACGGCGAACTGAAAGGGTGGAGTTGGTTATTAAGTCGTAAAAATCTGTTGAAAGCTTCGAAACATCTAAAAGAGATTTGTAATCAGTGTTCCTTAATGTATCCACACAACGTTCCGTGCATTTTGAGCGCATGCCTGGTCAGTTTAGAGCCCGATTCGGTTCTTCGGCTGATGCCCGATCAATTCACACCTGACGAACGTTTTAGCCAGGCCAGTGTTAATTCTCAACTGTCCACGCCTCAGGATGTTACATGTACTCACATATTGGTAAGTTTAATTAATTATTCTAAAGAAACTGGGATAAAGTCGTAGTTATTACGTTAACATTGTGTAAAAAAGAGTAACCGAAGTTTATACATACATTTCATGTTTCGATATTACTATATAGGTCTTCCCAACGAGTGCCACTACTCAATCCTCGCAGTCTGCGTTTCAAGAGCAACACATCAACGGCCCGGAATTGGGAGACGACGATCTTTTCACCGTATTAAACGACGATATGGAAACGGCGATGCAGACTTTGAACGATGATTTCAGCGACATATTCAATTGGCCTGAATCGGGGGCCGCGGGTGGCCAGAGTCCAACCGGTAGTCCAAGAAGGGAGGAATCGTCCAGACCGGGAAGTCCCACCTTCGGTATGAATGGTATCGGACGACAGGGAAGTCCCTTCCCTTGTAACACCAACTCGCGGAACAATGAACCTAAAGAAGAGGTAAGATTTCGGACATTAAAAATGAATACTGTATTCAATTCGTAGAATTCATAGTTTTATTTTGAAATTTGAGGGAAGTATGAAAGAAATCCATCCTTGATTGTGTATTATAATGTTAAAAATTTCTTATTCGTAGGTGGGCCAGTTATTGCAGCAGCCGCTGGCTCTCGGTTACTTCGTTTCAACAGCACCAACGGGTAAGATGCCAAAGTGGTTTTGGGCGTCGTGTCCGCACCTCGAGGGCGTATGTCCTGCCTTTCTGAAGAACGCCCTTCACCTGCATAGCCCTTCGATCCAACAGAGTTCGGACGAGCTACTCCAACAGTCCGCCATCACGTCACATCCTCTCGATTCCCAGTACACCACCGACGTGCTAAGGTAAGTCATGTTTGATTTATTTAATAGATTGATAGTTAAAATGTAATCCTGCGTACCAGCATTGATATGCAATTAAAAGTAAAACCTAAAAAGTGTTCCAACCCCAAAGGTGTCATCCTTGTTAATTAATACCAAATTTCTTTTATCATTGTTTATGTTTTGGTATGCATTTTTCTGCAGACAGAATTATATTGTGGTTAAATATTATAATAATTAGCAATATTTTATTAATTTCAATGCAAGGCTTGAAAGACTGGAGGAAGTAACAAAAATTTCTCTTGTATCTTTTCCTTGCTAGATTATAAAGTTTGTTTTTGACAACCTGTTAATTTATTCGAGTCTATAAATTAATACTTATTTCAAACGACATTTTTATTCGAATTTGATTGACATTATTATTTAACAAAATTTTCTGTTTAAAAATAATTGAAATTTATTATTGACAATTTAGTTGTACATTTGTAATTTATAAATTATTTTAATGATGGATTATGTGTATTATTGGTTCTTTTTCGTTTTGGATTTAATGTAACATTTTATTTTTGAATTGTTTCAGGTATGTATTAGAAGGTTATAATGCTCTTTCGTGGCTCGCCCTCGACTCCAACACTCAGGACAGACTCTCTTGTCTACCTGTTCATATTCAGGTTCTTATTCAGCTCTACCATCTGACTGCGTCGTTTCTATAATATTTATAATAATAGAATAAAATGGAAAATAATAAACGAACAAAATACAAATAGACGAAAGGAGAGCGTTCGTTGTTGACTAAACAAAAGCAAATAGGTAATAACAAAATGTTTATACAGATTATTATCTAATAGTAAAATCGCCGTTTTTTATGTCGACAACATTACAAAAGACAAATCGTGGAAGATCTTCCCTCTTTTTTTTGCGAATGGTTTTCGTTTTTCGCCCGGACCCTCTTGTTTTTATTTAATTTTTCGTTTATTTTCGCACTTCACTCGTCTGTTTACTTGGATCAGTCAGAATACTCAGAAAACTTTAAGTAATTAATCGAATAATTAATTAAACGCAAAATGATAGTAAATACATAATAGGAGGTACGTAGTGTAGTGGAGGGAAAATGGCAGTAAAAGTAGTAAGAGACAATGATATGACGAACATAATAATATAAAAAAAAGTAAAAAAGGTAGCATATATATAATATATATGTGTATGTATGTATAAATATTAATTTATTTTTGTTACTGTTGCTTAAAGTAATTTTTTAACTTATTTGTACAAACATTGTGATATAACTACATAAT